CCAAAACCAGGAAAAGAACTAAAAAGGAGAATTTCAGACCAATTTCACTAATGAATATACATGCAAAAATTCTCAACAAAATCTTAGCCAATAGATTACAGCTTATCATCAAAAATATCATACATCATGATCAAGTAGATTTCATCCCAGGGATGCAAGGTCAGTTTAATGTACACAAGTCTATAAATGTTATTCACTGTATCAACAGAGGTATAACCCAAGACTATATGATCCTCTCAATTGATGCAGAAAAAAGCATTCAATAAAATCTAGCATTTTTTTCTAATTAGAACACAGAAGAGTATGGGCATACATGGCATATTTCTGAAACTGATTGAAGCTATCTATGATAAACCCACAGCTAATATTTTACTGAATGGAGTAAAACTGAAAGCTTTTCCTCTCTTAACTGGAACCAGACAAGGTTGTCCTCTGCCACCATTACTATTCCACACAGTGCTGGAAGTTCTAGCCAATACAATTAGGCAAGACAAGAAAATTAAGGGCATCTAAATGGGAGCAGAGGAGGTCAAACTCTCCCTCTTTGCTGATGATATGATCTTATACTTAGAGAACCCCAAAGACTCAACCACAAGACTCCTGGAAGTCATCAAAAAATTCAGTAATGTCTCAGGATATAAAATCAATGTCCACAGTCAGTTGCCTTTGTATATGCCAATAGCAGCCAAGATGAGAGGCTAATTAAGGACACAACTCCCTTCACCATAGCTTCTAAGAAAATGAAATACCTTGGAATATACCTAATAAAGGAGGTGAAGGAACTCTATAAAGAAAATTATGAAATCCTAAGAAAGGAAATAGCATAGGATATTAGCAAATGGAAGAATATACCATGCTCATGACTGGGAAGAATCAACATTGTTAAAATGTCTATACTTTCCAAAGCAATCTACCTATTCAATGACATTCCTATTAAAATACCAACATCATACTTTCAAGACTTGGAAAAATGATTCTACGTTTTGTATGGAACCAGATAAAACCCCGTATAACTAAGGCAATTCTTAGTAATAAAAACAAAGCTGGGGGCATCACCATACCAGAATTTAGGCTGTACTACAAAGCCATAGTGGTCAAGACAGCATAGTATGGGCACAAAAATAGAGACATAGACATTTGGAATTGAATAGAAAACCAGGACATGAAACTAACATCTTACAACCCAACCACCTAATCTTCGATAAACCAAACAAAAACATACCTTGGGGGAAAGACTCCCTATTCAATAAATGATGCTGGGAGAACTGGATATCCACATGTAAAAGACTGAAACTGGACCCACACCTTTCCCCACTCACAAAAATTGATTCAAGATGGATAAAGGACTTAAATTTAAGGCATGAAACAATAAAAATCCTCAAAGAAAGCATAGGAAAAACACTGAAAGATATCGGCCTGGGGGAAGACTTCATGAAGAAGACTGCCATGGCAATTGCAACAACAAAAATAAACAAATTGAAATTAAACTGAAAAGCTTCTGTACAGCTAAGGAGACAACAACCAAAGCAAATAGACAACTTACACAATAGGAAAGGATATTTGCATATTTTGAATCAGACAAAAGCTTGATAACTAGAATCTATAGAGAACTCAAATTAATACACATGAAAAAAGCCAACAATCCCATATATCAATGGACAAGAGACATGAATAGAACCTTCTCTAAAGAAGACAGATGAATCCCTAATTATTAGAGAAATGCAAATCAAAACCACTCTGAAATACCATCTAACCCCAGCGAGAATGGCCCACATCACAAAATCTCAAAACTGCAGATGCTGGCGTGGATGTGGAGAGAAGGGAACACTTTTACACTGCTGGTGGGACTGGAAACTAATACAACCTTTTTGGAAGGAAGTATGGAGAACCCTCAAAGAACGCAAGCTAGACCTCCCACTTGATCCTGCAGTCCCCTTACTATGCATCTACCCAGAAGGAAAAAAATCCTTGTGTCATAAGGACACTTGCATTAGACTGTTTATTGCAGCTCAATTTACAATCCCCAAAATGTGGAAACAGCCTAAATGCCCACCAAGCCAGGAATGGCTTAACAAGGTGTGGTATATGTATACCATGGAATACTATTCAGCCATTAAAAAAATGGAGACTTTACAGCCTTTGTATTAACATGGATGGAAGTGGAACACATTATTCTTAGTAAAGCATCACAAGAATGGAGAAGCATGAATCCTATGGACTCAATTTTGATATGAGGACAATTAATGACAAGGGGAGGGGATAAGTAGAGAGAGGAAGAGGGAGGGAGGAATGAGGAAGGGATTAGCAGAGAGAGGGAAGGAGTGAGGGTGTCTTACCTTTGGGGGATAAGATACGATTGTAAGAGAGACTTTACCTAACAAATGCAATCAATGAAAACTGGTTTCTTGTACCCTCAATGAATCCTCAACAG